TCCAGGTGAAACAGTACAGGAGAATTACCACAGACAATTGGTTTGGTAGGTCCAGGTGAAACAGTACAGGAGAATTACCACAGACAATTGGTTTGGTAGCTCCAGGTAAAACATTACAAGAGATATACCACAGACAATTGGTTGCAATGATTGAGTCAGAGGTCAAAATAAGTTTGCTGTGATGTACTTCTGGTATACAAAACTTTGCTATCATCAAGATGAACATGTATGCAAAACCAAAACTTGTAACTATATATATATACAGGTGGATAAAGACAAAGCTTAGATGTCTAGTCAAGGGAATTAATGTTCTTTTAATATCAAGCCCTGAACAGCTCAGTTTTGGGCAGGTGGAGATAGTAACTCATCCAATACGTTTGCGTGTGTACTTAGTCTTACATCCATAAACAAACCTGCTGTCTGTGCTTGTACATACTGGGAATCTAGCCATAAGGGTTCTGGTGAAGCAGCCAATGATTGGTAGGGTAAAAATACTGCCTTATTGGCAAGTTAGCTTTTAATTTCCAGCCATTTGGTATAACCCTAAGACGTGCTCACTAGTTCAGCAACATCAAGCGTGGTCAGTGGCTAGATTGGTGCCCTCTCACATGTTGCATTTGGTGGCAGCGTGGTGATCTTGTGGTACCTTGTGTGGACAGTTTGCAGTGGCTGGGAAGTGCATTGGTACACAGGGAGGAACTATGAGTCAAGTCTCAGTACACAACCTCTCGGAGTGTGGAATAGCATAGACAAAGAGTAAATGGGAAATACTACTTTACTGGCAAGATAGATTGTCCAGCAATACATTATGGGTACTCGCCCACATATTGGGAATCGAACCCTGACCGTCTGTGTATAAGCCACTGACTTTATTATGTATTTATCACCTGTAGTTTGTACACAACAAAGTCTAACTAGGCCAAACATGAACAACAAACAAATGCCTACGTATTGATCAAACTTCTGTCTGGAAATTGTTTCAAGCTCAGCACAATTTTCCAAACAAAAGAAAAAACAGACATTAATTGATTTCGCACGTCGGCCATGTTTGTTCTATATGGCTACATCAGCAAATAGATGAAACTGTATTGTACACAAAACCTTTTTGCACCTCAAAATCTATAGACCACAATAGTGTGTTTCACAGTGAAAGTGTTTTCGTATGTATAAAAGTATTGATCGGAATGTAACTGTGAAAAGACAAAACAAAGGCAAATTCTAAAGGACAATGGTAATCTGAAACTGAATACAGAGATCTAACGCACTTGAACTGCCTGACGGACGTGCAATAGCAGCCATGGAGATTTCATTATTTTGAAATGTTCGTTTCTGACAACAGCTAATATTACCACATAGGTACAAACTCAAATGCTCCAAATACAAACACATTTTGAACTGGCTGAAGGACAGTCTTGCTTGGTACTTTAGCAGCTACAGAAATAATCAAATTTCATTATACGGAACTGTTTCTTTCCTTTTTGCTAATATACCACACAAACTCAAAGGCATCAAATACAATTGTAAACCTTTGATATTCTTCATCATTGTTGATATAGATCTCTTATATGAAACACTATCACTTGGAAATGACATAATCTTTCTATCCTTAATATCTGTTTTAACAAGTGTTGTAATTTTCTATGCATAACACTTCAATAGAAAATGGAGTATAGTGGGTTTTTTTAAATTTCATCAAAGCATTTTCCTTTACCCAGAAATGTTAACTCAGGATATTAAAGGATCAGTGTAATGGTTTGCCTTTTAACCCATTGGTGTGACCTTGCTTTTCACCCTTCTGAATGACCTTGACATTTACTCCTTGGTGCCTTGGTGTGATCTTGACATTAGGACTTCAACTCCATGTTGTGACCTTGATTTTGATCTACTCATTTTGGGGAGTCAAAAAGATACTCTTAAGGGTCTATTCTGAAACTTCCACATTAAAAGTAGCAAACAAACACACTTTTTACACTCACCAGACACACTAACACACTAAACTATTCCAAAGTAAGAAACAAGAAATGTTCATACTAACCAATAGACCAAACTACCACAAAGTAACAACAAGAATTTTAATACTGACCGAAGGCCCATATCTGGAGATGTGGGAGTGTTTGCCACTATAGGTATGATTGGACACCCTGGTAGGTACACCCCGCGGGCTCAAACTGAAGGTCTTGTTTCTTAGGTAGTTGGTGTACCCAGACGGAGCACTAGTGATGGGCATGCCATTTCTGTCAACGATCCGCATGGAGTCCAGGCCTGGGTGTACCACCTTGCGGAATATCCGCTCCGCAGCCTGAACATCTGAAATAACACAGATTAAACATAAATATAATGAAACAATTTATCAATTTTGCTTGAGACATGTATAATTTGTATTTTGCAAGTTGCATATTTTGGCATTAAGTAAAGATTACAATGCGTTTGTGCCTCTTGCTGATTCAAATTCCAGCAACTATTTGTTTGATAGACAAATACATAAATCAAATTTAAAAAAGAAGAAGAGAAATTTACAAAATTTTCTTTTATGATCTATTAAGATGATTTTCAAACAATACAGAACCATTCTTTGTCAGTTGAAACAAATACAATAAATGTGCAGATAAAGTCCTTTTTCCTATCTAAGTACTTATTTTGAAAATTTTACCTAATTTATAAATTCGTTATCAAGAGCATGCATTATTGAAAATACTTCAGCATACTGGGTATCCTAAAAGACATTGGATCACCAGGGCTGATTTTCCTATAACTTAAAAAAACATAAAAGCTGTACATGCCCCTAGTTTTTTAGATGCTATTTGTGAATGGGGGATTCTTATCCTCTGCAAAATAATTGTTTATTGACGTGACTTTGATCACTAACAATGTCTCTACACCATTTACTAACCCAATTAACCCACAACATTTGTAAATTTATATAGAATAAATTTTCTTTTTTTTTGTACCAATTACCTGGTATAGAATACAGAGAGAATTAAGTTGTTCATAAAAGTTGGAGACAAAAAGAGTAAAGTCTTGCAATTGACAGATTTATTTCTGCACATACCGACCATCAATCATGCAGTAAAATATACGTGTCTGATGAACCCCCATAATTTTTATCTGTACAATATAATTGCTATTTATCTATACAATCATTTAAAATTGTCACCAATTTCAAAATATCAAATGTACTAAAACCTTTACCAAAGTCAAACCTTGGATATCGCCATAAACCATGTATTATAAATTGATTATGTCTTTAATCGAGGCCATACATTAAATTCAATACTGGTCATGCAATCCATTTTGGAATGTTGTTGATAAGAATTGTTCAACTCATAACCTTGGCAAATGAATTTCAATACCTCAGAGCAGTTCGTCCAATAAAGGTAAAATTGCTGTTAGTATTATGTTTTCCTATCAAGAAAATAACATTTGAACTCAAGTTTTATACAGATATCATGTTATCTAGACATTAAACGAATGGGTAATTTTAATAATTATTATTCAATCATTTAAAGTTATAATGAAACGTAAAACTTCTCCAACTTCCAAGGGTTGCATGAATGACTAAGAATGTTATTGGTTTTTTGCCAGAGATGGCTATAATCAAAACTGGATTACATATGAATGAAAGTTCAATAGCAGGATAAGAGGATTACAATTTTTGTAAGTTTAAAGGAATATTATCTGAGGGACATGGAAAATTGAAATAGAAAATGATGTGAGATAGATATTATAGCAGACACAGTTTTGGAACAGAAAAAAAAAAAGAAGAATTTTATGATAAAACTAATAAATTACTGGAAGTAGCCTGTTCAGTAATATTTCAATATTATTTTTCTGTGTGATGTACACACATATGAACACAAAGCAGTTTCCTTATAATTCAAAAGACATCCCTCACAGGGACCCACATAAATCATGTATTTTCACCATTTTCCTCAATTTTTCCCCACATGGANCACTGAACACAACACATTAATCACTGTATGTATGCTGGAATCTCACTCGATGTGAAGGAAATATTGAGCAGAAGTTTTAAGGTTTAGATCATCACTGTAAAATTTATTACATTATTGTTTTTCATATGTATTCCATAAACCCTGTAAAACTGCTGATAAAGAAATACTGTGATATAATTCATAGCTTTAAACATTTCTGACCAACTCAAGCCTGTAGTAATTTAAACCATGTGAAAATGTTATGATCCATTCGAAAAAATAAACTTTCCTGTCCATTATTTTTCAAAATAATTGTTTTCCTTCTAGAATACCACATTGAAATCAAATTTTCCTTCAAACTAAGTTATAGTCCAAAATAACTAGACATATCTAAAAAAAAAAAATACAGAATGGAGTTGATTAGTCAGTACAAAAGCAAATTGGAACAATAACTGTGTGTGTGCTAAGGTCTGGGTTATTTCATAATCTCAATTTGTGTTTCGTTGAAAGAACCATTTTAACCAAATGATAATTCCTGTACTGTACAGTAAACTTAATTCAGCATCAATAATTTTTACATCTCAAATAATACTTGATCAGTCAGATACACAATCATTATAATAGCTGAATTCTTACCTGAGTGATAAGGTGTGGAAATGGTGAAATATTCTTCTTCCGTGTATTCATTCATATTTTTTAAACATTACTTTTTATACCTCGTCTAATTATAATATTCAGGCATCACTACGACAAATATAACTGTTTTTATTCCTCTGTAATCCCCATTTATTAGTCACATGCAAGTTCAAGAACTCAACATTTAAATAGAATTGATGGAATATTTAGTAAATTTAAATGAACAACACGTCCAGTGTTTAGTCAGGTAGATTGTATCACATTTGCACAGACAGATAATCCTGGAATATACGCTAAGCAATGAGCCTATCAACAAATTGGATCCATGTAGAACGTATATGATAGGTCTGCAATCTAATAATCCGTTTCCTGTTCATACAGACCAATTTAGGAACAAATTACAGTAGGTGCCAATAATCTACGAATATCCAAACCTGGGATTTATCTTGATTGACATTGTAGTGTTAACCTCTCGATAACAGTGTTTGTGTTATTGATAAATTTACTTCTACAAACACCAGAAGCAGTATGTTTAGTGCCCATCAAATGGGCATAAAAGGGTCCATTAATCGCCAGGTGGCATGATAGACTGACAACGGCAAGTGTTAGAAAAAAATCGTCTGCTAGGCTATCGCAGCAGTCATTTCACTTACCATAGTTTCTCTGCGTTTCCATATTTATCACTCATCTGATCCCATCTAGGATCCCTATAACATGATGTATGTTTTTGTAGATTTTACACCGATATATATATGTCTACATAGTAAAACCAGGCAAATCCGTTCTTGACACTTGCACATTGACTTCACATGGTCGCCATTTTTGTGTACTTGTGACGTCACGGTAACCATGCTCTGCTGAAGGGAGCATTAATTAATTCTGACCACTTCCGTAATCAATTTTATCCACAAAAGCCACTGCTGAGATTCTTGTCATGTTTAAAAAAAGTTTGAACAGTTATTTTAGATATTAATATTCAGCATTATAATAAATACCACCATAAATACCTATAAGAGGCCCAAAGGGCATGTAATACATATTTACCGCAAGGGCACTTCCATATTCAACGGTTAAATCCTTAGGCTCCCAGGACCAAAAATTCTTCATATAAAGTTAGTTGGGATCCACATATATGGTTATTGAGTGGGGGATCTCAGTCATTTCCAGGTTATGACCCATTTATATATAATTATCAATTGCAACCACCTATAAGAATGCTACCAACCAAATATCGTGTTCCAGAAAAAGAACAAGTTGCTTACTCAATAATTAAGCCTTATGGCCAAATTCCTAGTGCAGTATCCTGCAATTTTATCCTAGATAGTAAGAAATCACCTGAAGCAATAAACCCAGATCACTTCCTTTTGGTCATGCCCCTCCATTTACATAATTTTAAATTCCCATCATCTGAGAATCCTTCAGCAAGTAAAGTTGATACCTATCACGTATTACCAGATTGGAAGTCACTTCGAGCAATATGGTCAAATTATCCTTCCTGGCCCTGGCCCTCAATTTGTAGAAATAGTTTGAAAATATTCTTGATGGAAATCAGAGGAGCCATAGTATGGCATATAGCTCATATTTGTCTTTCGGACCAGGGAGATAATAAATATCAGATGTAAAATTGAATGCTATGGAAATACAATTTTCATCTAAATGCTTTTGATTCTAAGACGTGAACACTTACAACTATTGGGATCTTGTATTTTCCCCCAAATATAATATTTTATTCATATTCATTTCTCAGTAAAGATGAATTTCAAATCAACTGTTACACCAGTAAAAAAAAAACACATTCATAGTAACTTTTTCCCCAGAGGTACATCATCATCATTCTTCATTCTTTATTCCTCAAAAATGAGAGAGTATAATACAAAATTAAGAATAAGAAAATTATGCAATGTACAAATTGTGGTTAATTCATATTTCGTTATCGTTCACTGTATCATTGTTCTTTGCGGGAGGGTGTATTCACCCTTACATCCAATCTATTTATCATGCAAATTCATTCTTTCTCAGAGCAATTCGTACCTGGAACAGCCTCCCAACCTTCATCGCCGATAGTGCAGACCTCTCAACACTGAAGGCAAATCTCCTCTCTCACAAATTCTAAGCGTACATGTTGTTTTTATTATATAGTTTTAAAAAAATAAGAATAAAAATACTTGTTTTTAACCGATCTCTCTGACGCCTCTAAATAATGTTCAGTATATTGAACGTTTTAGAGTATCCTGTTGAAGTTGAAGTGGTAAAGTTTACATTACACTAGGTCTGCAGCGTTGAGATATATCTGTGCTGCTTTCCAAAGGAAATAAGCACTGTCTTGCGCAAATTCACAGCACACAGTTTTGTTATCAAAACCATGATTGTCTATGGTTCCGTGAATAGAGCTACTACAAATTCCTCTTCTGCCATTTAAGACAATAGCAGATACGATTGAACACCATAGTAGTTTATTACTTTGTCCATGAAAGTGTCCCTTACAATGATGTCACATCACAGTCCGTGACGAAATGCCTGATTACGTCATGGAAGGGTTTCCCGCACTTGCTACATATTTTACTATGTTCTAATGGTGGGCAGGTTATCATTTTGCAAATATATAATATTACTTTCTTGTCCGTGTTTTGTAACTTTAACAAATTATACGGTTCACTATATGTCAAATGTATATTTTTAAAACGACTAAAATCACAATCACTGTTCATTCTTACTTTCAGCAGTGTGTTTTCGCGTATTTCCACTCGCGTCGTGCTGGAAAGTTTCCATCTTCGGCATATTGACATATTAACGATGTTAATTTGTATTTTTGAAGAATGTCAACTATATCTGGCACGAATCCACCCTGTTTCTTCGACCTTTCAACATATTCTAAGAATTTCAAGAGTCTACGAATGAAGATATCCTTTGTTGTACTATTTGGCGAGCTACTAATTAGACACTGTAGAAAGTTTAGGATCCTTTTTTCAATTTCACTATTAATTCTGTTAATTTCAATTTCAAATATATTTTATTGATTAAACAAAAGGATTGAGCAACAGGCTTTGCCTATATAAGCTCTCTCCATGGCTTCCAGCATACTTTTGATATTTGAAGACATTGAAACCAATATTTACATACATACATTTTATTTCAACTCATCTCATGACACTTGGGTAAATTTATTGCTAGGTAATATAATTTAATTAGGCTGGAATAATATTTTCATGTTTCAACAAAACAAAACAAAATCATGTGATACTTTGACTTAAGATAAAAAAAATCCTTAAAAAAAATAGTAATAAAAAAATACAAACTTTGCGATATTGATATTTAATAAAGTTGTGAAATTTAATTTGTGTCAAGAAGAATTAAATATACCGTTATGAATATACACAGTATTCCAAATCGAATTAAATATGTGGATATACGTCTTGACCTTGAGCAACTAAAATTTGCTACGGCAACATGAAATAAAGCAAAACTGATACATGCATGTATGCTGATAAAGAAATGTACCAGGACTTATTTGAAGTAGACATGTCTTAAGATGATTTGGAAAATCAAATAGAAAAAAATTAACTAAAAGAAAACAGAAAAAAATGAAAAAAATGAAAACACAAAAAGAAGACATAAATAGTTATATAAGAACACAAAATAATCTCGAACACTCACTCATACACTCTAACACCACATTTGTATCTACTGGCATGGGCTTGTTGGTTTATTTAATTAATTCTGTTAATACCTAGAATCGTTTCACACATATCCGATCTCGAAGATTTCCTCACATTCAGAATCATTTTTGCTGTGTAATGCTGGAATACATCTAATTGTTGTTTGTCTTTCGCCGTTAGGTTATTCTACATTTCCGACCCATACAATACGGTTGGTAGTATTACTTTCTTATTAATGTTTACAGATGTTAGCGGTTTAGTGTGTGCACAGTCTGATCCCATCCGAGAAATCGCATGTAACATATTTCTCCCTTTTCTACAGGCTTTTTCTACAGCATTTGAACACTTTAGGTCAGATGATACATTAATTTCTAGATGAACCTCGATCGGAGTCCACAGTTTTGATGATATCCCCATTCAATGTCCACGGGACGTTAGTGACACACGTTTTGAACGAAATAATAGAGCTTTTCGAAGAGTTAAATGTAAAATTCCACTTTTTAGCATATTAGCATATTCTCCTGCGATGTTCAGTAGACACTGAAGAGCTCTTGGACTAGTACTAATGAGTGCGATATCGTCAGCAAGAGATGGGTTAGCAAAGTTAATTGATAAGATTCTCGCACCAGCTTTCCATGTTTCCAATTGGTTGAGTAGATCATTTATGTGTAGTAAGTACAAAAAGTTGACAGTAAGCGAGATGTAGGCCGATTTCCGTGTTTTGGTTGGGCAGTGGTAGAGGTTCCGCCTAATAAAGTCTAGGGTAGAACTAGCTTTTTTACAGATATTGTCGATGTGGGTTCCCGCACGGAGATCAGACGAGATTGTGATGCCAAGGTAGGGGCTAGTCAGAACTCCTTTGAGGATAGTGTTATTCAGTTGGTAGAAGAAAGATGACTTCTGCTTGATGGATAGGATATAACACTTGCTGGCATTGGACCACATTGCTCGACCCAAAACTCAAGGTTTTTGAGGTTTGCTGGAGGGTGATGTGGTCCTGGTGGGTGCGTATGATCCTGTATAGAAGGCAGTCATCTGCGTCTAGGCGTACTTGAGACTTGACGGCATCAGGCAAGTCGTTGATGTGGCACAAAAATAATAGAGGGCCTAGGACTGTTCCCTGGGGGTATTCCGGAGGCAACAGTGACTTCTCTTGAGGATTCATCTTCCACTACTACCTTCATGTGCCTTTGGCAGAGAAATGACCTGATCCATCGATGTAGATTTCCACGTACGCCGTACGAGTCCAGCTTATGCAGCAACCTCCTATGGGGCACCGTATCGAATGCCTTAGAGAAGTCCAATATGGCGATGTCAGTCTGTGAACCTTGGTCAAAGTTGGAAACAAAGTTGTGTATGGTGACAGCAAGCTGGGTTTCACATGAATAACCAGCACGGAAGCCATGATTGAGAGATGACAGGATTGCATGCTGGTTAAAGTGGTTTAGCAAATGATGACAGACTATGTGTTCGAGAATCTTGCTGAGAACAGAGGTCAACGATACAGGACGGTAATTCTCTGGTGCATGACGATCTCCCTTCTTGAACACAGGAGCGACGTTCGCATTCAGCCAGTCTTGGGGGAGTATTCCCGAGTCCAGTGACCTCTGGAATATCATAGAGACTCTAGGTGCCAGTCGAGGTGCGCACTCCTTTTCAGGTCCAGGGGCTTTCGATGTTTGTATATTGAATAGCAACTTCAGTACTCCTGCCTCGCTGATCTCGATGTCCTGGATGTCATCGCCAATATGGATGCGTACTGGTGGTAAATCAGAGTCTCCTTTACGGGTGAAAACAGAGCTAAACTGATTGACGAGTGCTTCCGCTTAGGATTTCCTATCACTGAGTAGCTGGCCTTTGCTTCGTAATGGCGAGACTCCGATGTTGTCCTGCTTCTTACTTTTGACATACCTCCAGAAAGGCTATGTGTTGTTGCTGTCCAGACCCTTTTGGATAACCTCATTGACGTAAGACCACTCGGCTCGACGAAATTCCCTCTTACACTCCTTCTGATGCTGGCGAAAGTTGGACCAGATGCCTGTTCTACGGGGTTGGCGGTGCAGTCGTGTCTTTCGTCTGAGCATACTCATTATCTTTTAGCAGTTTCCCGCCATATCTGATGTGTTCACTTGTAATATTGTCAATACCCGGTGATTTATTCAATTCCAACTGTCGTATACACACATTGATCTCGTCAAACGTAAATGGTGAGTCTAATTCATCGACGTATCTATATGGTGGGTTGAAATCCGTCTTTCCTTTTGAATTATCCACGTTAAGTATTTCAAAGAAGTCTGCGAAAATGTCTACAATTCCAATAGGATACCCCTATGAGTCAATGCTGTACATATGTCTGGAGATGGGTTCTTTCGTTTCCGTATTGTCCGCCAGAACAATCTTATATCTAATTCAGCAGTATTATCGAGCTCGTTGTTAACATTGTCTATATATATGTACTATGTGCTTTTTGATGTATATTCCGGAATATGTTTTTTGCCTCCTTGTAGTCTTTATATGTTTTATTTTGCATCCCTCGCGGTCTATTTTCATTTATCCATAATTGTCTTTTATAAAGAGCTACATTATGCGCATTTTCTATATCCGATGTCCAGTACGGCTTTAGATACTGTTTGAGTTGACGTTTTGGAATTGCTTTATCTGACGAAATCAACATACATAACGATAGTTGTTCAGATAACGCGTCTACTAAGTTGTGTGGACATATCAAAATTCTGAACTTTACTGAATTTTTTCGTCAGAGCTAACTGGTACGCGATCAAATGGTCTACACTTGCTTTATTCCATGATGTATGCTTTTTGTGGCTAGTTTCTTTTACCACGAAGTATGGAATACTGAAGTCTAATGAACAGACTACTGGTAAGTGGTCGGATGCTATTTCAATATCGCCGTCGTCTAATATTCGGTTGTATGTAATGTTCGCAACTGTTGATTGGTCTGTGAATATATAATCTAACGTCGACTGACATGATATGAACGTGTAGTCCTTGCCAGTTCTTGTAGGTTGACTGTTAAGTACACACAGGTTAAGATCGCGAAAAAGAGTTTTCACAGCGTTTGCCTTCTGTCTTGCACTAGAGTACGTCGGATTGTCCATAATCCTTGCATTGAAATCCCCCGCTATGATAAGTTTTCCTCGTTGATCATAGAACGCTAGTAGATCGTGTTACGTCTTTAACGTTTCACAGTAACTTTTATGTCGCTATCACTTTACATGTACACACCAAATATATATATGGGACTGTCCAGCATTATACTTGTGACTTCAATAGCAACTATGCGTTCATTTGTTACATCGTCCAGTTTCCGAATGCTATATTGCAAAGACTTTTTAATTAGAAAGGCAACTCCTGTTCCACCATTCGAGTTTTCGTTACAGTTTGCAAGTATTGCATAGTAGTTTCCGTCGATACAGTCTAAATATTCATGGGACTTGTGGCAGTTTGTGTTCTGTAATCGCCATAACGTCACAATCCGTTTCACGTATCAGTTTGACAACACATTTGCTCGAGGAGAAAATTCCTCTGACGTTCCATGTCATTACTGCAAGTATCATTATACTCGCGTGAAATACTATCTTATTCATACGGAATATCTGCGAGTAGTGGAGTCGGTTCAAGTTTTTGTTAACGCTAGTCAAAGTGTCCAAGAACGGTCATTTCCACTGTTGTATCTGGTATAGTATTCGTCGTTATCATCGTCCCAATAGTCTTATTTCGTATATTGTCATTGCGGTCACATGGCGCCGTCCATCGCGATCTGTTTTCCGTTGGTTGCTGGGACTCAAGTTTCTCTTGCCATTCCCTATTGCATATTATTTTATTCATATTCATTACGCAGTAAAGATGAATTTCAAATCAACTGTTACACCAGTAAAAAAAAAATCCCATTCATAGTCACTTTTCCCCCAGAGGTTCAGAGCTACTTATACTTGATTTCAGCCTAAACTTTCATGTATGGTTTCTATTTTCTTTTTTATGAATAAAGGATCTTATGTAACTATTACATCAATCTTATTTAAAAACTCAGAAACTTAATATCTTATATACAAGTAGTACAACAGAAAAACAATGGAGACATGTATACTACTGAAATGTGACAATTTATTTATACACTACCATCATTTAGGTGACATGTTTATTTCATTATATAGACAACACGAATACAGGTAAAACATTGTAAAATAAAGGTCGTGTGAAATGATATAACAAAAGTAATGAAAGAATATTTCTGAGAAATATATACCAAAAACCCAAACCATACCCTACATTTACTTAATATAACATAGGTACAAGGGGAGTTAACTCAGTGGAATATCTGCTTAGTGATTAGGAAGGTTGAACCACTCTCCTTTTCCAATTTTTCAAATATTTCATTTGAACGGGCATATGTTTAAGGAATGACCTTCCTAATCGTTGCTGATTTCTACTTCTTTAAATACAAGCACCAATACTTCAAAGCCAGGTTTAAGAACACCATTATTTAATAAAAAATAATATTGATCGAAGAATGGCACCAAACAAAATGCATGTAGCTCAGAGAAAAGATAACAAGTTTCAAAAACAATCATAACTCCATTATAAGTTATCAAAATGCTTTTTCTAGTTTTTGGCATTTGTTGCATGATTTTCTTTTGAGAATTTTATTATTTATGAAAAGCTGTGAATGTGCAAAAAAAGTTGAACAATTGAGTTTCTGAACAATAACTAGATGTGCAGTACAGTAAACGTCATTCTCATCAAACAAAAACTTCATCATTTCATGTGCAAATTAACAAATGTAATTATAAAATAAGCTTACAAAAATAACTTCTCTTGATACTGACAAAGTAAGAATTTCTGATAAATTACAACAAATATCATCCACACACCCTCCTTTAGAAATGTATCAAATATGTCTCCTAAGTAACGATGATCATGTGATTTTAAGTTTCACTACATTATTCTTGTTAGAGTAAAAATTGAATTAGTTTGTCTTGGCTACAGTTTCCTACACGTTTATAACATAATTACCTGGTATCACAATATACAACATTTATATAGCAGCCTATACAATTAGTAAAATTACTCTAATCTTCGTTGATTGAATATCAAGGTTGAAGAACTTTTATTATTTTATCTTGACATCTTTCTGTAGTCAACAATTTTAGTATCTAGAAGATATGAATTGATTTTACACAAATATTTTTAAAATTGTTTTGCTTAAAACTGATAGTTTACACTTGCTGGAAACTTGAGAGTTCTAGCTTCACTGAAATATATAATATGTAAATTGATAAAGATTAAAAACTTTTAATTTCCATTTCAATACATCTAGCACATTGTATGATGGACACAGGTTTTCTAATTAGTCCCTGTGCACATTGTCTAATGAGATCTGTGTAAGTCTTTATGACTTTACATCTGAACTAACTGTGGTTAAGCGAGATTAAATTAATTAATCATAATCTAAACTAATCATTCAGAAATTTCACAGCTGATTGAGACAAAATACAAATAAAATTCAGGTTGTATACTACCTTACTGCTGCAATTTATGTTAGATTTATATCCCTTAACAAATACTCTGTATCATTGCATTTTCATGTATTCCTTTGTAACTTTTGAACGATCATCATTAACTAATTAATTATGTTCAAGTTACCACTCGTAAGAAAGTTAGCTTACAATTTTTTTCAGACTGGAACTCTTCGAAAGGAGATTACATAGTAACATAGCATATAACTTTAAGTACATCACTTTTCTTATATTGAATCCATTATATAAGTATGCCTTAATATTGGAAGGAATTGTATGAATACTGTCGACAATTAATATATCACCTTAATATAAATATTGTACAAATAATATTAATATACACCCCAGCATTTGCTCTGCTAGAGTCGTTATAATATCAATCAGATTTCAATTTTCTTGAAATACCTGTGTAAACTCATACAATACTGCCGTCTTACATGAATATGTCAGCAGTTTAGAAAATCTCATCAGTATAAATGTTTTACTGAATAAATGTATTTTAATTATACTTTCATGAATTACTTGTTCATAACGAAAGCAATGATTGTTAACTCATTCACCCCTGAAGGCACATTTGAACTCTTCCAATTCATAGATTGGAATAGTTCATTATGAAATTTCATAAATTTGAAAATTATGAAATGGGTGAGTGAGTTAAGATACCAGCCTCTACACAACACTATTATTTGATACAGGGATTTTCTTTCCTGTAGTTATTTTACTAATCTTGTATCAGAGACAGTTTGATATTGTTGTCTTGTGTTTTTAGTATTTCGGCAACAATTTAATTTATACCGACAAGGGCTAGAACAGTTTCTATATAAATCATGTATATTTCTTTCTAATGTAAACTACCTAAATTTTTTAACAGACAGAAAATTTCCATATTAGAGATCTACTAGTGGGGATTTCATTACAGAAAAAGGTCTTCCCTGCATTTTTTTTTTATTATGTGAATCTACCGTCTGTCGTGGTGAGTATTCTATGTATTATTGGGCTGGAAGGAATATATAATGGATGGAAAGTGGCAACTCTTTAACATCAGAGAGTCTCTAAATGTACTTGGAATGTTGCTGGTTTTTTTATCAGCTAGTAAACAAAAACTTTTGGGCAACAAATTGTAACAAAAATATGTGTTTTACAATTATAAAAATCAGCTGCTTGCGGCGGTAAGTTTCAATGTTAAATACCAAAACAATCTAAAAAAAATGCAAACATGTTTTGTGCGGTCTTTTTTCTATCCTGAAGGTGATTCGTTAGTTTTATCACCAATATTTCAAATTTCTCTTGAGCTGAGCTCAAACTGAACTCCTTATATAGTTACATAACATTGCAATAGACACTTCAGCTTAAACTCAGCTTGAGAGGGGCCAGGTATGTCCAAACTCAAGTTCTGTGCTCAAACCAGTTTAATTGTAACTCGCAGAGATCTTGGTACAAGTTCAAAAACTATGCACAAAAAATTGGTATGAAGATACAGTAGCTTTAAGTCTAGTCTGTAACAGTGGAAATATTTATTAGGATTATACTTTCATATTTGAACTGAAATTTGAGCTTGAGCACAGAGTCTGAGTTTGAGCACGACATTGATTTTATGAAACCGTGTATGGGATTCGGACCATTAAGTTCACTCATTTGCATAACAGAACAAATTTAGTGTCATCATTTATACTACATTCAAAAACACACACCCCTGTCCATCGTGAGGTATAGAGTTTATACATGATTGGATTTCAACATGATATGTACAGTACTAACAGTACGACACAGTGTATAACAGATGCACCATTGCTCCATACATAGCGCCCAATCACAGAAAATATCTCGAAAAACCAAAACATTTACAGAAATATGTATAAAAATTCTAACAAAGCACAAATCATTTCATATTGTCACAAGCACAATTTCATTAATAACACACAAAAAAAATCTGTTTGACTAATTTTTTCAGCTTTTTAAAAGTGGCTTTCAAAAAAAAATTCTCAGTAAACTTGTCTAAAGCTTTTCAAAAAACTTTCCTATGATGTCTTCACACTCCCTCCACTTTTGTTGACTGGCCCACTTCTCATTGTAATACAATAGTATGGTAAAGTGAAAGTAGAAAACAATATTTTGATTGATGTGCATGCAGTTATCAGATGTTGGATTGTTCAGCCAGGAATGTTCTTATTCTCTGCAGTAGTTCTTTCTTAACATCGTCTGGCACAAGAGCTGTTGGAGAGAAAGCAAACCTATTAAGTATCGATGTTTAAAATATCTCCTACAAACCATCTTTTTCAAAATTAGGATAGCCAATACCAAAACTTGATCTGAGATTATGATTTCTCTCTTTAAAAAACCTGACACATTTCACTTTAGTGTATGTTTTTTAACACTTAAGTGGGTTTTTTGTGCCAAGTAAAAAATCATTGAAGACATTTCATACTACAGGATTAACTAGACACTTGTTTTCATTAAAGTTAGACACACAATTCCCTTCAATGTTAATGTGAGTATTGTTTATTCATTATTGTGTTTGTGGTGTGAAGACCTAGAGGATCTGAGTTTACATCCGAGATGAGGTCACTTTGGGTTCGAACTACCTTATCCATACCTCACATCAGGGATGGATTTTATTTCTTGCTTATTACCTAAATCCCGTAAAAACAGCTGCTCTTTTAGTAAATTTGTAAAACTTTCCACCCATTTCTCATTTGCATATGAAGCCCCGATGGCAATTGTTAATAAGGTCAATGACCCTGACTGACCCCAAAATGTCATAAGATGACGTCTTGAACAATAGCGTGACCACAAAAGGTAATTATAATTCCCCCGCCAGTCTACCTGTGTAGGCGATCCAGGACCGAGGGTTAGATAGAATTTTCCAGCACCGCTGGAAATGCTGATATCTCGAGTCATGGTTATCTAATGTTGATCAGCATATCATACCTCTAATAGTTTAAATCATATTCTCAACAAAAGTGTATTAGAGCCACACATCCCCGGGAAAACATAAATAATGCCAGTTTGCAAAGAGTTTTGGATTGCAGAGACTCTACATAAGAAACTGTTTTTTTTCTGGCACGATTATCATTTTCTGAAAAGAAAACCATACACTGGAGGACTTTAATGAATAAGAGGCCCAGAGGGCCTGTATTGCTCACCTGGATACCAAAGCAATCATGGCAGAATATTCTCCGAATGAGATCAAGGGAATATGCCAGACCCCAAGGCCAATCCTTATAGCATATCTGTACATGTATTAGATTCTTCATGCCCAGCAATTTTATGTATGGTTATGGGGTGGGGATCTCAACTGTTTCCAAGCTGTGACTAAGAAACTAGGTCCCTAGGGTTGTGGCCAGACCCCAGGATCAATTCTAATATCGTGACTGCATTTGTCTCTTTTTGCCCAGCATTTGTTTATATAGTTTTGGGGTGGGGATCGCAACAGTTTTAAAGTTATGGCCCAGGGCCTATGTCTCCAAGGGTGGGGCCAGACCCTATAGACATCCTGGAAGCAAATGTGCATTCTTCTCTTTATACTCAGCAATTGTATACTATGGTTATATGGAGGGGATCTCAACCATTTCCAAGTAGTAGACTTTTTTTGGCCCCACCCCTTAGCCCGGGGCTAATGTATAATTTTGGATCCCTGCCTCCCATGAATGCTTCCGACCAAATATGATTGATATCCATGGCTTAGTTCTACAGAAGAAGTCATTTGTAGCAATATAGGTCCCTAGGGGTTTGGTCAGACCCCAGGGTCTATTCTGATATCATGACTACATTCGCCTTTTTATGCCCAGCATTTATATATATAGTTTTGGGGTGGGGATCTCAACCATTTCCAAGTAATACACTTTTTTTGGCCCCACCCCTTAGCCCGGGGCTAATGTATAATTTTGAATCCCTGCCTCCCATGAATGCTTCCGACCAAATATGATTGATATCCATGGCTTAGTTCCACAGTAGAAGTCGTTTATAGCAATATAGCCAAATTGCCCCCTTTTTGGCCACGCCCTCAGCCCCACCATTTGTATGAATCCCCACCACCTAGGGATGCTTCCAGTCAAATATGGTTGATATCCACCTCTTAGTTCCAGAGTAGAAGTCACTTATAGCAATATTGCAAAATTGACCCCTTTTGGCCCCGCCTCCCAGCCCCCCGGGGGGTCAGCCCAACCATTAGTACAATTTTGAATCCCTGACACCTAGGTATGCTTCCAGTTAAATATGGTTGATATCCATGGCATAGTTCTACAGAAGAAGTTGTTTGTAGCAATATAGCCAAATTGCCCCCTTTTTGCCCTGCCCCTCAGCCCCATCATTTTAACAATTTTGAATCCCCACCACCTAGGGATGCTTCCAGTCAAATATGGTTGATATCAATTGCATAGTTCTACTGAGAAGTCGTTTGTAGCAATATAGCCAAATTGCCCCCTTTTTGCCCCGCCCCTCAGCTTCCTGGGGGGTCAGCCCCATCATTTGTACAATTTTGAATCCCCACCACCTTGGGATGCTTCCAGTCAAATATGGTTGATATCCATGGCATAGTTCTACAGAAGAATCGTTTGTAGCAATATAGCCAAATTGCCCCCTTTTTGCCCCACCCCTCAGCTCCCTGGGGGTCAGCCCCATCATTTGTACAATTTTGAATCCCCACCACCTTGGGATGCTTCCAGTCAAATATGGTTGACATC